TTGTGACCTGAACAACTAGTTCTGAGATAACAATGTGCACTATATTAACTAGTGTTAATTCCTTGCTTTTTTTCTTTTCTTTTTTGAAATTCTGTATCATTTCTACCTCAGTTTCTGTTTTGCTTTTTTTTTTTTTAAATAAAAAGTTTTTTAAAAAGGATTTAAGGTTTGTTTCAGTATGCTCCTGCTTCTTTCGGATTGAATTTCCCCCCATTTAAATTCTAGCTTCTGATGCTCTTCATTCCTGAATTCTAGCTCCTACCTTTATGCACAGTGCCTCTCTGCCAGGCCTCAGAACTAGTGATGTCTCTTATTAAAATAAGGAGGTAAGGTGACTTAGTAGGAGTAGGAGTTCGTTAAATCTCAGAAATAGTTTGGGGTTGAATGCCAGGTATAAAGCGGGAATATTTCATGCCCACATTTTCCATAAGCTATATTTTATTTTATTTATTTTATTTGAAACCAGGGATTAAACTCATGACCTTGAGCTTGCCAGGCAGGCACTTACAACTCTGAGCTAAATCCCCAAACCCCATAAACTATATTTTAATATTTTACTCTGAAAATTTTTAAATTAATATGAAGAGTGGGGCATATTTCAAATCCATATTATTTGGGGAGGAAGTGTAAAGCAACTTTTGTTGTGATTGTTCAAGAAGAATTGTGTTGAAAGAAAGCCACACTGCCAATCCCATCCCATCTGTGAATATGATTTCATGCTATGTTGGAAGAGAGTTAAGACTTTTATCATTTGCTGGCTCAATGCTGAATTTTTAAGAGAAGCCCAAGAAGCATAATTTCTGTGCCCTTTGTCCTTTGAAGGGGTAGTTTTATAGATCACGGTGTATTTTTTCCATTTAGATCAAAGGGAAGGTAAATGATAGACCATCTAGCTTGGTACCTATTTAATTATATATAGTCTAGCAGTTAGAAATGGGTTTTATATTCTTGAATGACTGAAAAATGATCAGAAGCAGTATTGTGTTTCATGACATGCAAAAATTATGCATTGACTTTCATTGTCCCTAAGAAAGTCGTATTCTAACACAGCCATGCACATTTATTTGTATGTTGTCAGTGGCTACTTTCAAGTAATAGTGATAGAGTTGAGTATTTGCTCCAGAGACTTCATTGCTTATGAAGTCTAAGATATTTGCTGTCTGGCCTTTTATAGTAAAGAAGTTTGCCATCCTTCATCTATAAGAAGTACAATTCTAGACAGAAGCAGAATCGGCCCCCACATTTTTTTTTTATTTAACTGCTTAACCATGAGTTGGAATGAAGAGTTCCCCTACATCTCAACCCTCTTCTGGGTACTACAGAGGAGGCCAAATGAATAAAGCTTAGTGAGGACAAAGAGAAAGGAGCAAAATTTTCAAGTTACATTTTGCATAAACTAAAGACATGAATTTTGCATCTGATACGGGAGGAAATTGTTTAATTGCAATACAAATTTTTAGTTTGTATTTTATTTATTTAATCTACCTGCCTAGGCCTTTGGTCTATGCAAAAGAACTGAAAATCATTATGAATTAAGCTTTTCACCACTCAGATAATCTGTGCTACCTTGGAAGAAATTGAATGCAATATATTAAAACTGAAATTGAGTTAACAGCCCAAAATCTAGTTTGAGAAACATAAATGTATTCATGCTTCAGAAAAGGACTTAGCAAAGCGCTAATCTCAAGTTTATTAGAAATTCCAAATATCCTTGCTATTTTGACATTCGGAAGAAGCTTACGTAGTTTTTGCCTTCTTATTTATTACCAAGAATCACTTCATTTAGTTATAGACTTGTTTTTTTGGCCACCCAGGATGTCACTTGACCCCATAGTTAATACTTGAAAAATGTGACCGTTACCTGCCTAGCAGCTGATCGGACAGAGTTATGCAATGAGCATACACAGTATAGAGTATTTTGAATCTTTTACTGTTATAATTTCTGGACTAGGCTTTGATGAGCTCACATTAGATTTCATGAGTGGCTCTGTGATTTCGATAAAATGCCATTATAACTAATGCAAATCCAAGATGGGGCTCATGATATAATGGTGTGGTGTGTATAGCATCCTAAATGCTAGATGAGATAACACTAAGACTTAAGGATAAAGTAATATCCACCATTAAGGGAAGCAACATCCTTCAAGTAGAATCACAGCCTTGTGCACATCCCTGAGCTATTCATTATGTCTCCGGTAGGAAAAACATGGCAATCCTGGAGTCACTGTTTAAAAACTTTTGCAGCAATTTATCAGATTAATTTTAATGTTGAATGTGAAGCTAAAAATGTAAATTTGCATTTTATGCCTTTCAATTTTTTCCTTTAGTAATTAATTTTTATTGTAGCTCACAGAATTATAGCTCTGTATTGCACTGGAAAGGTAAAACTAGTCCTTCCCCACAGATAATTTGAGAAACACGTTGTACATTGAAGAAAACAACGTTCTGGTTAGCATTAAGTATGTAGCCCATTCTTCAAAAGTGATGCCGTTTTATGGACAATATTTTTTATTTTCATCAACAGCTAGGATGTTGCCATGGCAGTTGTGTATCAAATTGCTGTATGTGACTAGAGTCACTTTAGTTTCCCTCTAGTTTAAGAAACTTTTAAATATCCAATGCTATTATGTAGTGCAGCAATATGACAACAAAATTCTGTTTAAATGACTGAATCATCACTGGAATATAATTTAAGAGGGGGAAACAGAATGTATAGATTAAATTGCTGTGCAACCAAATAGAAATATCAGGATCTTCCTCCACTTAAGATGCAGAAACTAGTGCACAGAGGAATAAGAAAAGAATTTGATTTACAATTTGAAAGAAAACCAGCAGTAAAATAATTGAGGACTGGAAAGCAATCTTGCTCCTGCCAAATTGCTTTCCGCTATGCATGCTCCATTTAGGGGCAATATTTGGATACTAACATTCAGTTTGTGCATATTTTCTTTCCCCTGTGAATATTCCATCCTGTCAGATTAGGACTGTGTCTCTGCTGTGATCAGCAAAAGAGACTATCCAAATTACACTGCACTGGATTTTATACTCATAGCTTTATAAATAGAAAGTGGTGATTTGTGAAAGCACAAAGGTGATAAACTGGCTGCTAATGGGAAATTCTTAGTCCCTAAATTGTAGATGCATAGTTTCATTTCAAATTAGTTTTAATTTCAATTCATGGTTTATGGGAATAGGCCATATGAAAGAATATTTCAAATTGCAAAGGATTGGTAAAATATTTTTCAACAATAATGACAATAATTTTACTGCTATTACATCAGTAATAATTTGCGGTAAAGATTTGATGCTAACCCCTTGAAGTTTCTCATTGATTTTTCCCACTAAGTATAAAGTAGATCCTGCCCTTTTTCCATAACTCCCTCCAGAAACTAATTCCTGTAGTTCATGGACACATTCATAACATAGCTGGTGCACTGTCACTCTCTTTCTTAACTAGCTCCCCTGAGTCATACAGGTATTTATTTAGTTATGTCATTATAATCTTGGAAAACAGTGATAAATTTTGGTTTAAAGTTTTCATTCTTGTGCTATGTGTTTTTCTCAGAGAATCACAGTTTTGTGCCTTACACAAGCGCAAGGATTTATACATTCGAAGTATCTTTGAGGTCAGTTCCTGGGCACTAACATTGTTGCCCTTCATCTAAGGGAGAAGATTCTCCCTGGAGGTGTTTAAATATGCATTCCTCCCTCCTGGATGAAGCAAGTCTCATCTTTCTGAGAACACAAGGACAGTTTATGATATTTACTTCCCATGTATGCATGTAGGAAACACCCAAAAGGATTTCAGGGAGTTGTAACAAAATTCAAATGGAAAATTGTGTTTATATTTTCAAGCTAGGAAGAGTGTGTTCTGAATTTTATTACTTGGTGTTTGAAAAGTTAACTATTTCAGAAGTTTGCAGCCTAACTCGTGAGTGGCCTTACTAATGATTTGAAATTGGACTGGTTTTCCATGTAGGTTTTAAAATGGAATAATTTCTTTACACACTGAACTTATAGAAAAATAATTTAGAATAATCTAAATTATCATGCCCTGTGTTTCTCATGTCAGCTACAAATCCTCCTCATAAAATACAGGCTTTCTGATTTTACTACCACTTTTATACCTCTTCCTAAAAGGTAGAGTGTTCATATTTGCGTATGAAGGTAATATCAAACTCTCATTTCTCATAGGGTCTTTGCTTCAACCGTATATTTTGAAAAGCACAATAATTGACAGAAAAATATAGATTCCTACTAATAAGCTAACAACTGCACATAGTAACACTAATGATTTTTCCTTGTTACACAATTTCATGATGCTTTTCCCCACCTATGATTTAAGTAAACAGATAAAGATGTGTTACAGATAAATACCATGTCCCATGATGAATGTAATCATTCTGTACTGCAAACATGTACTAATAAAAATAAAAGGTTTTTTTTTTTTGATAGTTGGAATCAAACTCATGACCTCATGCTTTCCAGGCAAGTGCTTATGCCACTGAGCTAAATCCTCAACAAAAATAAAATATTTTTAATAAAACTTTTTTCTTTGGTGAAGATGCTCTGAGTTGTTTTTTGTAATTAAGACAAATTTAGCAATGTAACATTTGATACTTTTAAGACCGTGACCCCTGAGGCAATATAATTTGATTGTTATGAGTTAGCACTCCATAATGATTTCCATTTTAGGGCCTAGTTTAGAATGAGACTTCCTGGGACCAAAGGATATTTATTTAGCCTCCGTGCACCTCAGTGCCCTCTTCTGTAAATGAGCATATTAGTGTCATTCTGTACTAAGAAGCAGTTTGTTTAAAATAGCTGAATCATTATGTGCTCCAAGTTCCCAATAAATTATTAATGTTATTGTTATTGTTATTGTTATTATATCCTTGTGCACATAAGAATGGTCTGTCCACAGGAGAAAAGCTGATAAAAATGCAGCTTAAGTGCTTTTGTGTTGTGCTATTTCACCTCCCTCTCTTCTCTCCTTGCAGGTGGCCCCAGCCATAAAGGAGAAGATGATGAAGAAGGGAAGCCTCATGCTGGGCTACCAGCCCCACCGGGGAAAGGTGAACTTTTTCCGCCAAGTGGTGATTAGCCCTCAAGTGAGCCGGGAGGACATGGACTTCCTGTTGGATGAGATAGACCTGCTCGGTAGAGACATGTAGCTGTGGCTTCGGGCCTCTCAGAGCTGTGGATCGTGTGCCGGGCCGGGCAGGGCATCCAGAGACACATAGTAGATTATAGTCTTTTCTGAGAAATAGGAATTGCTTCCATGCAGGCATTGCAAAACAAGTTGTTAAGCAATGGCAATAAGGACTCTTATTGCCTGGGCTCTAATGTTGGTATAAAGGAAGAAGTTTTTAAAAGAATGAGTTTCTCAAGGATTGTCTCTGGGCATAACCTTGAAGACAGTTTAATAAATACCATATGGGTTTTCAGTTCTAATGTGACACTGCTCCTTAATGAACATATAAACTAATAGTTTAAAGTGATGATTCTCAAAGAATTGTTCTTGTCGTGGCAGCATCAGCATCACCTGGAAACTTAAAAAATGCAGATGCTCAATTCTGGGAGTGTGACTCAGTGTTCTGTGTTTTAACAAGCCCTCCAGGTGATTTTTATGCATAGTGTAATCTGAGAAGCATTTTTTTAAATCTCGTATTGATTGATTAATCTTGATGTTTTGCCAGTAAAGAGTATCAGTAGCCCTTGAGCCACTCTTTGAAAAATACAAATTTGACATTTGTAGTACACATTTTAAAAGCATCAGGAGCATGTCAAAATTATTTTTTAAGACAGACAATATGAAGACATATGTTTTTATAAACTATATACAGACGTGTTTTATGCAAACTGAATGTTTACTTTCAAAAGTTAAAATTAACTCATTTATTTTAATTTATCTAAATTAGAGATGAAGCTAGAACAGAAAAACACTTTGAAGTGTAGCTTTTTCAATCGATGAACAATAATCCTAATTCACTTCCCCAGATCATTTGTAGCATTAGCTACGAGTAGACATTGCATATTATATAGGTGTGTGTCTGAGTCCCTCTCTTAGATTCAGGGGCCCATTTCTACCTTGCTCTCTGCCTTGTAGTGAATAACCAGAATGAAGCCCGGGGTTGTATAACATTCCCGTTTCCAACCTTCCACGTGTCAGTGTAGACTTTTAACTGGTTGACAGCAGGTGGAGAATCTAAGAATAGAGGCTTTTTGGTGGAAATATCTCCATTTCTTCTGAGAATGAAAGATTATAATTTCCTGATCCTTAGCCTAGATGTTTAGGAAAGTTTCATTTGGCTAATGAGTGGATGAAATTCAGAGATGCGGCTGCAGAGTTAAAACTGTGTTGAAAATGAATGATTGAAAATTGCTCACAGAAACCTTTTCCTGCCTCACCATGAACTTGTGTTGTTTAAATTGTGAAAAGCAGATATGGACTCTTCTACTTCTATGTATATTTTTATTTTAGGGTGCATGGGTTCTCAGTATCTCCATTATTCAGAGAATGTTCTGATCCTTGTTCTTAATTACTTTGAATTCTCTGATGATAACTATTTATGTGTGTGTATTTTATGTTTCCTTTTGCCTTTCATAAAATGTTTCTAAATTGATGTTTGCAATAATTTGGACTTCATGAAATAAAAGGCAGTATTAGTGCACTTAGTATTGCTGACTTTTCCTTTCTGTCCTCTCCCCTTTATTTCATTACACCAATACATTCTAGAAGTTAACATTTAATTTAACAACTGAGGAAACAGGTTGCAAGCTTTCTGGTTCTTAGTTAACACCTTGACTAAAATGTCAAAAGCACAAAAGTGTAGTCTTGTGTATAGTCTTCTACTGCACAATCATAATGGAAATTCCATTGCCATAGCTCAGTTTCTGCTGTGCCTTTTTATGAGAGGTGGCAATTCCTTAATCAATGGGGAAAGAAAAAACATTGCTACTAGATATATTGAAAAGTATGTTTTTTTTCTTGACACAGAAGGGTTCTGGGCAACTATGCAGATGCTACAGATACGCGGTGAGTAAAATATTAGACAAAGTTCTTGCTCTTCTCAAACTTTTATTTCAGTGGAGGTAGATAATTAGTACATTGGTATTTAAAACTCAAATAGAAATGAGTATTTTAAAGAAAAAGTAAAAATACTAAAGGAATAAGGTGTGGAAGTGAGAAGAATGAGCTGAGGTGCCATCAAAGTTGTTTAGGCAAAGAGTCATCTGAGTGAGGACTTTCAAGGATGAGGGAGAGAATTATGTGGGTCATTTGGGAAAGGATGTTCCAGACAGTGGGCATGGTAAGTTAGAGGCCTGCCATATTGCCTTCATGGTGTATACAATGAACATCACGACATTCACTATGACTGAAGCATAGTGAATTATGAGGTGAGTGACAGAGGATGAGTCAAAGAGACATTTGAAAGTCAGTTACAGAGCCTTCTCTAAGTGAAAACCTAGAATTACACTTGGACACTTTTTTTAAAGTTGTACAATGTGTTTGCATAAATTAAATTTTTAGAGGTAACTTACTGATGAATGTTTGGAGGATGCAGTGGATGTATGTGAGAGTAGACTTTGGAAGGAGGCAAATGAAACAGTGAATGCTTACTGTATCAGAGTTTTAATGGAGAAAGAGTTTGATTCCAGATGCAATTAAATATAGATTTGATAAGGTTGACTGGAGGAGTGCAATGTTGAAAGACAAGTAAAGAATTAAGGATAGTTCCATAGACTTTTGGCCTGGCCAACTATTAGAAAAGAGTTATCACTGAAATAAGGACTGATTACAGAAATAATTTTAGCTGGTTTTGCTCATACACAGTTTATAAATGAGCTAACTCTATAAGTTTTATAAGTGATTATTTGGGTCTCAACTTTAGAAAGGAGGATAAAGATATAAATATAAGATCCCGCATTAGTGTGGAGATGTTAGTTGAAGTTATGGAACTGGATGATATCAGACAAAGAGTGTTTGTGGGTAAAATGGACCGGTACAAAAGCTTACCATAAGAACAAAGCCATGGAGGCCCCTGGAAAGGATTCTCCTGTGATGCCAAGGGAGATCAAGAGAGTGGTTTCCAAAGGCAAGAAGAAGGAAGATGATCAACAATGTTGAAGCTATTGATAAGTCAGTAAGACCTGAAGTTTACCTTTGAATTGGCAGTGTGGAGGCCATATATTTCTGGAAGTTTTATTTGATAAAATAAATGTTTAGAATGTAAATTTTAATATTTCTTTTAGCAATTATCAAAATCTAACCAAGAGTTGAGACCATGTGATGATGCCGGGAAACAAAATTCAGTGACTAAAGAAGACAGAGTCAAGGAAAGGAGACCAGCAGCGTGAACGTTAGTGAACACAGTAGTGCTGTGAGCAGGTTGGACTCAGTCTTGCTAATGACATTGGAAAAAGTGTATAGAACATACCTGAGAGATGACCTGTCTGATGCTAAGGAAAGTTGATCTATTGCCACATAAAAGCCTGAGAATTGGGCTCAGGGTCAGTAGCTCCCTGCCAGTCTTAACTGTGCTTTCATGCATTTGATTATGTCCTCAAGTGTAGACTGTGCCTTGAGCCTTGATCACGATTGGTGATTGCTAAGGAGTTATACAAGACCACTGCCAGCTTTTGGAACAGTGGGAAAAGAGTCCATCTCCACTACTACCACCTCCAAATGCCATTTGCCATATTCCTCTTAAGGCAAATCTAGAAAATGTGGCTTTTTGGTTTTTCTGTGTGTTATTTGTCTTAACCAGTTACAGTGATGGCCACAATTATATAAGTAGTGCTACCAGTAATAAGGAAAATGGCAAATAGTCAGGCTACTTACAATCATCGCCACCATGACAGACATGGAGTGAACTTGTACTGAAAGCTAAATTTTATTTTTTTTTCCCTGACAGCTCAGTATTAACTTGTTGATAAAATCTGAGTCCAGTTAAATTGTTTGGAAGCCAGTCTGTCTGGCTCATGTTTATGTAATCCAACTGGAAGTGGGTTGATACAACCTAAATGTCTAAATCGCCTTGACTCAATTAGAAACTATTTTGAATTGGGAAGAAAAAAAAAAAACACCTAAGATTTAATTTTACTTCTTCGGGACCAGTTTGATTCCTCTTAAAGTGGTATTCTTGTGAGATTGTATTTTGACCAATTGGAACTGGTTTGATTCATTCTGAATTATTTATTTTATAAATTTTAACTTAAGAAAAATCAGATGAAATTAGATTAAATGTGTTTAATCTAATTAAATGTATTTAATCTAATTGGAATTAGAAAGAAGTTCCCTTTCCACAAAGCCCCTGGCTTTAGAGAGCCCAGACTGGTGGCAACAGTGCAGTATGAAAAGGCTTTACTGATTCTTCAGAGAAAACTGATTCAACAATACAAACACAACCCCAGCTTCATTTGGAATCACAAACAAACAAAAGTGAGAATTCTCTGTCCTCTCCATTTTCAGCTTCCTTCTCTACTTTCATAAGTTTGATGAAATGAAACATTGGCAACCAGGCCCTCTGAAAGCTCGTAAGGCAGGAAGTGGGTACGGGAGGAGATGTGGAGTATGGTAGCCAACGTAGGAAAGCAATCTATTATCCTCATTTCCATGACCCTATTTTCTTGTAGATATGACATTACTTATAGCAAAAATACCACAAGCTTGAGGATCCTCTAATACAGAGACCAAGGATGATTATTATGATAATTAACATTAATTTTGTGTTATATATCAAGACTATTCCAACTTCATTACCTGGACATATTAATTCCTCATAGAACCCCATCAAGTGGGAGCTATTATTACCTTCAGTTTATGACTGGAGAGATGGGAGCTCAGTTTAAGAAAATTACCCAAGACTTTCCAGGTTCCAAGTGACAGGTCCAAGAAATCTAACTCCAACTTGTTTTAGAGAACAGGTTTTTGCCTTTTCACTTTATAGGTAGCTATCACAGAAGAAGACCAATCCTAGGAATCTGACTCCTGCCTAACACAATTACTTGCCAAACACAAGCATCAAGAACAGAGTTGGTCTCCAGGGGCAATAATTCTATTATACTGTCATGGCACCTTTCTTAAAAAAGAATGTAGCAATTTTCCTTTCTGCTTTTTGCCACTGAAGATGGGAGACAGTAGTGTACAAAGTGCCCTTTGAGTTGCAATAATAAGAAATGTTAATGGGGAGCACAGCAGTTATGAGAATGATAATATGTTGTATTTGGCCATGGCTTTGTTTCTCTGATCTTTCCTGAGTTCCATAACCACATGTCCAGATGCTTCCTTGACCATCCCATTTGAACATTTCCAAGATACTCTAGAGTTTTCATGTCCAAAACTGATGCATCATTTCCTGTCCCCGGCCCCACATTTCTTCTTCTTCTTAAACTTGTTCCTTTTTCCAACTTTTCCATTCCAGCAAATGATACCATTTTTCTAACCAATTTGGCAAAGGAAAAATGTATTTTCTATGCTTTATATCTGTTACCCTCTGCCCTACATTGCCCTACCCATTAGAAGATTCTGTTAAATGTATCTTTAATGTATGTCACTAATCCATCTACTTATCCCGGTTTCCATTATCAAGTCCAAATTCCTAGCTTCTGTCTTTCCCCTATACTATAGCAATCGGCTCTTCACTGTATCTGGAGATTGATGCTATACTTTGTCCACACTACTTAAACTGCAACCAGATGAAAAGACAAAACTGATATCTCCCCCCTTTTTTAGAAAGCTTTCAAGAGCTTTCTGTTTGCTCCTGGAACAGGCAACTGCCAAATCTGCAAAACACTACCAGGACACCTATTGGTCAAGCAAGACAGGCTGATGACACTCTCATAGTGAGGGAGGACACTGCCTTGATGCCTTAGTGCTCCTTATCAGGGCAAGTTGCAGGAGAACATTTACTGGCCTTGTATCGAGGTACAAGTGGCTTAATATGAGTCAAATGGATTAGGACATAGTTTATCTGTAATAAGGCTCAGACCACAGGGAAGTGAAAGAAGTGATGCAAGTCATGGTAAATAAACCACAGTTTGATAAAAGAGCTGTTTCTGTAGATGAGCACTCTTTGGTCCTGATGGCAGAGATGAGTCAAGTATTTAGATGATCTGGCTGGAAGAATTTTCAATGTATAACCTGACCTCTCAGAACAAAACAGTTGAATTAGGTTGTGCACAAGAAATTGCTAGTCTCAGTCCTGATAGGTTCCTTGGAGGCCAATGATTCAGATTCTCAGGATACAGATTAAATTCTGCAAGTGGTTACCAAGTGCCCACATCCTTCTAACTCCCATAAAGTTTCAGATTTATGTTGCACAGCCTCCTTCGTGTTGACATGCAGAAAGTGAAAGTTTTGGCTTCTTTTAGCTGCCA